CAATTTCTCCTCAAATACCGCGATCTAATGAGATGTTGGAGTAGTCAGTTGAGGATGCAAGTGAAAAGACAGTCGCATTATTATTTAAGTGCCTTATGCTGTAAATAAACTATAAGACTGATGCATACACCCCCTGCATTACGTTTCTATTACTGTATTCTTACAATGCTTATGTGAACCTCTTGATTATTCAGAATATCTACCAACCAGCACGCTCCTGGTCTTGTACATGCCGGTTAATAAAAAGTTCGCAGTACTTCATGTTTACCTTTGGTATTATTGAAACATCTTCAGTCTTCCATATCTTGCTTTATTGCTCAAAAACAGTCAAAGCAGGTCAAATCCTTCTTTTGAGGACTTCTTCACAACTTGCATTCTCTGACATTATCTAAAGGTATACAAGTTCTCTCTTCCAGGTGAGCATTATGTCAGTTAGTCCCTACAAGTCTGCCGTAATGCAAGAATCATTACAGCTTTCAGCACTGAAGTAAATTAGATGACAGCGTGACCCTTAGTCTTGTCCAGATATTGAAAGCATGTTCCTGTTGTAGCCAACTAAAAAAGCAGGAAAGTACCTCTGTTTTACCACTGACTGCAAACTCTTGGCCAACGGGTTAGATGAAGGGATTGAATGCAAATGCCAAGGACACAAGCTTAGGTGGAAAGTAAAGAGGACACAAAGACAGTTTAGAGGGATAGTTGACAGTGTGGGCAAATGGGCAAGAATACAGCAGATGGAATACAATGTAGCAAGTGGGAAGCTTGCCACTTTGGTCAGAAAGTACAGAGTATTTCCTGAAAGAAGAGAGGATTGGAAATATTTATGGTGGGATTTTTGTGGTTTTCTACATGAATCACTGGAAGATACAGCAGTGAATCAGCAAGGAAAGTAGTATGTTAGCTTTAGTTATAAAAGGATTAGAATACAAGAGCAAAGAAATCTTACTACGATTACACAGGGATTTCAGAGACCGCACTTGATACTGTGTGCAATTTTACTTTCAGCACCCAAGGAAAGATATACTTGTTCTAAAGGGAATTAAGTAATAGTTCACAGAAAATAAACTGAAAACAGAATAAAAATGCTGGCACAAGAAGAAAGAAGACAAGTCAAGCCTGGTGGTAAAAGAAAATAAATCAACCAATACTCAACCATGTCTGCCAAGGAGGGGTTCTTAAATTTTACAAGTACAGTTGCAGCCCTAACTATGCAGTTCTATAAGGAAGGCTTATGGTTATAAAATTACAAGGGTGAGTTAATAGGGCAAAACAACGCAAAAGCACACAATAGCACACAATTATTTGAGTGATTAACAGCATATCCATTTTGAATTTCCCGTCCCCTCACACCCTACCATCCCATCCAACATGTAATTGACACTTTAAGCTTCACAAGTCTAAGCATACCATTAGACCATAAGGCATAGAAGCAGAATTAGGCTAGTCAGTCCACTGAACCTGCTCTGCCATTCAACAAGACTATGGATAATCCGATAATCCTCAACTCCACTTTCTTACCTTTTGCCTACAACTTTGGATTCTCATACTAATTAAAAATCTATCTCAGCCTTGAATATGCTTAATGACCCAGCATCAACAGCTCCCTGTGGTAAAGAATTCCACAGATTCACTACCCGAGAGAAGAAATTCCTCCTCATCCGTCATAAATGTGTAACACCTTACTCTGAGATTATGCCCTCTGATCCTAGACTCTCCCACAAGGGGAACATCCCTTTTAGCATCTGTCAAGTTCCCTAAGAATTTTGCACGTTTCACTAAGGTTGCCCTTCAGTGTTCTACATTCTGACGAGTACGGGCCCAATCTACTCAACCTTTTCTCACAAGACAAGACAATCTCGCCATATTTAGTATTAACCTAAAGAACCTTTTCAGGACTGCCTCCAAATGTCAGTATATCTTTCTTCAGCAAAAGGTCCAAAACTGTTCACAGTATTCAATCTGTGATCTGACTAGTTCGGAAGAAGAGTCACCCGACTGATTTCTCCTCGCAGATGATGTCAAAATTACTAAATATTCAAGGGGCAAAAAGACTCATATTATATCTATTTTCTATCACCAAAGACTGCTGAGTTTCTCCAGCATTTTCTGTTTTCATTTGTGTGGTCTGACTAGTACTTTGAACAGTTTCTAGCAGAACGTCTCTACTTTTATGTTCCTTTCCCTTTGAAATAAATGCAAACATTCCAATTTCTCTCTCTTTCTCTATTACCTGCTAAACTTGGATGCTCGTTCTTTTGAGATTCAAGGGTGAGAACTCCCATCAGGATTTTTAAAAACATTTTATTCATTCACAGGATGTCGGCGTCATTGGTTAGGCTAGCATTTGTTGCCCATCCCCAAATGCCCAGAAGGCCGTTAAAAGTCAACCACATTGCTGTGGGTCTGCAGTCATCTGGAACCAGACCAGGCAAGGATAGCAGTTGCCTTCCCTAAAAGGACATGAGTGAACTAAATAGGTTTTTCTGTCAATCTACAATGGTCATCACTAAACTCTTAATTCCAAATTTTTATTGAATTCAAATTCCACCATCTGCCATGGTGGGACTTGAACCCAGGTCCCCAGAACATTACCCGGGTGTCTGGATTAACAGTCCGGTGATAATATCACTGGATCAGGGGACTTATAGGTTGTTATCCCCATTAGTTTCTCTAGCACTTTTTCTTTGGTGATAGATATTGTAGTTATTTTCTGTCCTTTTGCCCCTTGAATATTTAGTAATTTTGAGAACCCATTAGTGACTCCTGCTGTGAAAACTGATACAAAATATTCATTCAAGTCTTCTGCCATTTCTGATTTCCCATTGTTATTTCACCAACGTTATTTTCTGAGGGCCCCCTACGTTCCTTTAGGCTTCCCGTTCCTTTTTATATATTTAAAGCTCTTGCTGCCCCTCTTGGTATTACTTGCACGTTTACCCTCAGTTTATTTTCTGCCTCTATTATTTTTTGCTTGTCTTTTGCTAGATTTTAAAACTTTCCCTATCCTCTGACATACCACTAATCTTCATCACATTGCATTCCTTTTCTTTCAATCTGACGCTATCCTTAACTTCCCTGGCTAGCCATGGTTGGCCTATCCCATTCCTAGAATCCTTCCTCCTCACTGGAATAGGTCTTTGCTATGAGCTATGAATTATTTTCTTAAATGTCTGCCACTGATCCTAAATGATTTTTGATTCTAATCTCCTATTCCAGTCCACAGCAAGCATCATTAATTGAAAACGGGTTTTATTAAATGCTACCAGATCCAAAATAACCTGATCCCTAGTTGGATCTATAACATTGTTCTCAGAACTGTCCTGAATACATGGAGTTTTGCCTCATGGCTTTCTCTGCCGATCCGACAATCCCAGTCGACGTAAAAATTACAGCCACCCACGATTAAATTTTTTTAAAAATTACAAATGTTCACATTATCTGCTGATTTATTCCCTGTCCAACCCTTTAGTTAGTTAGGGGGCCCATAAATTACTTCTACCGATATTTTCTTACCTTTCTTATTTATTACCATTATACATTTGATTCAAGATCATGTCTTGCTACCACATTTATTCCATCCCATACCAACAGTACCAAACCACCCCCATCCAAGCCTTCCAGCCTGATCTTGCAGGAAGTCCTGAATATTTAGTTCCCAGTAATTGAGATGCCATGAATAATTCTGTTGCATATCTCCAATACATTTAGCCTTCTGAACAAAGAAAACTCCTTCTCAACCTTGAACATATGTTCTGAAATGTATTTTTGCCAATACTTCCTGTCTAATTGCCCCGTTTTTCATTCAAAGGCTACACTGCGGTGCCAAGGATACAAATGCCATGATAATTTGACCACCCTGACAAAACATACCTTTCTCGATTTGATTTGTTTCTAATACAACATTGCACCATCATTGTAGGCCAGGCTTATGCATACCCACCCAGTCCTAGAAAGAGTATTCTTTTGATAGTGTAATTATTGTTTGAATAAAAAATGGATTTCTGACAAATTCCTGGTATTACATAACAGAGGCAGTATATCATTTAATAGCTTCTTTTATTTTTTCAAATATATGGATTGTCTCCTTTAATATTTGAATATTTCCAAAACTGATGCAATTATTGTTCCGCAAGCATCCTGTTCTTTTTCTCTAGAATCACCCAGCAGAACAATGCTTCATTAACCAGTTACAGGAGCGTTGCTGTTGGCATATCTATGACAGTACTTTAACTTGAACAATTTTGTTTCATGCATGCAGGCTACAATAGCACGTCACATCTTCTTTCATTACACCATATATTTATTGATCTTTATTTTTCATATCTTTCTCCCCCCAGATTGATCCTCTCCGAATTCAATTTTGTTATACTTGGGTGTAAAGCATAAGGTCTCTCATCTTGGAAACTCACTTTTTGATCAACTTTCTTTCAATCTGAATCTGTATCATTTTCTCATTCTTTTCAGCACCCTAATTTGAAATCATAGCCGCATAATTTCTCTATGTGGTAAGAGAAAGTATTCTCTTACGTTGGTTTTTTCATGTTATTCAGGTTCCAAGACTACCGGCAACAGTTCATATGTAGTTTAACAGTGCTGCACTGTGATTTTTCAAGGACTTAAAGATAATCAAAATTGGAGATATAAACTTTGAATTAACATCATGTAAGGTCTCTGTAACGTCACAGTTGTTCTTGTGTTGCTTGCAGTGGTTGAAATATCCCAGTGTCACATTTCAGAATCACATTCATTAACAATGAATCATTCCAAAATATAAATGGTGACAAGCAGAATTAATACAATGAGTTATTTGGTTCTCATATCATTCATCATTTGCCCTTTAATGTACTGATTTCCTTCAAGACTAAATCACAAACATAAGAAACAATTCTCATAAGAAACCAAACATTATACAATATCAAATTATATGACTTCTTAAATGAGTATATCCACCATGCTGTTCTTTTAAATCTTGCAATAATTCTGAAATTAATGTTGTGTACCTGTGCATCCCAGTTTTTATTCAGATAATATATACATGTGACACATCGTCCATCTCCATTAGGGTTATCAACATGGCGAACATATCCTGTTCCATTTCCTGGGTAACATGCCACCATTGCCTGTAATTAGTAAACAAAAAAGGTGGAAAAAAATTGAAAAGAACTGTAGCTCAAGAATTTGTGTGTTTCAGGTTTTCTTATTGTCAGAGCTGATAAGGTTAGGGTTTGGTCCACTAACTTATCATCACGGTTGCTACATCGTGGGCCAGCACGTCGGTTCAATGGTTAGCACGACTGCCACACAGCACCAGGGATCCAGTGTTCGATTCTAGCCTCAGTCAACTGTCCGTGTGGAGTTTGCACATTCTCCCCGTGCCTGCGTGGGTTTCCTCCCGCAGCCCAAAGATGTGCAGGTTAGGTGGATTGGCAATGATAAATTGCCCATAGTGTCCAAGATGTGCAGGTTAGGTAGATTAACTACAGGAAAGGCAGGGTTACAGGGATAGTGTACATGGTTGGGGGTTGGGGCGGCAATGAGTCTGAATAGGATGCCTTCAGAGGGTTGGTATGGACTTGATGGGCCGAATGACCTGCTTCCACATTATAGGGATTCTATGATTCTATGACTTAACCTTTCATGAGGTACCTTGCCAAATGCCTTCTAGAAGTCAGAATACATCAGATCTATTGGTTCCCCTCTGTTCCCCTATCCACTCTAATTAAGACTTCCTCAGGAAATAAATAAATTAATCAGACATGTTTTTTTTCATGAAGTCATGCTTTATTAGATTAGTTTCCAAATGTACTGTTATTACTTCCTTAATAATTGATTCCAACAATTGATGTTAGGCTAATCAGCCTAGAGTTACACACTTTTTGCCTCCCTCCCTTTCTGAATTAGTGTGTCACATTAGCAGTTTTCCAATCTTCCAATCCTTCTCCAGATTCCAAGGATTTTTGAATGATTATAACTAGTGTGTCTAATTGCTGTAGCTACTTCTTTTAGGATCCTAGGATGTCAGCCATTAGGGCCAGGGGACTAATCTTCCTTTAGCCCCAGTTTATCTAATAATACTGCTCCAATAGTGGTGATGGTGCTTAATTCCCCCTTCCTATTCTTTTAGCATTTTTCTTTCCATCATAAAGACCAACTAACAATTAATTGCAAGGTAAAAGCCATTCGATAGTTAATTTCACAGCACAACACCTTGATCAATTATAGCCAACATTCCTGGCTTCATATTTAAACAAAGCTCAACAGTAAAATGTTGAACATTAACTGGGTGCATTCTCACTTGCCAACAGTGAACACACTCCTCATACAGTATAAAATATTGGTTTACCCCTTACACGTTTTCCTAATGAATTTAAGCACAACTTAAATATTTAACATTCTTACATTTTATGACTAGTCTGACACAGCCGACTCATTGTCTTCAACATATTAATACAATAACATTTTAGTTATGAGTGCTAAAAAGACTATTTAATTTTTTGAGGATGTAAGATTTGAAGCATCATGGAAAAATTGATTTATTTCAAGTCTGTGGAGATACATGGATAATTATTTTAAAGGCATTTGTTGGAGATCATAGTTTCAGCTAACTGCTTATCTTGCTTGCTGGAAGTCTGCTTTTACGGTTATTCTGTTTGAAGTGTTTCAGTAAATGGGATATATAAAATCACATTTGCTAAGAGTTTGGATTTTGATCTAGTGCACATAGATGCATATCTTTAAAGGAAGTTCATGACTAACTTCTCAGTATTTCTGCAGCTATGATTTTTTTAAAACTAGTATTAGAGACAGTTGCTGATGTGATGGGCATTTTGTTCATAAAATTCCATCTATACAAACTAGAGTGAACATTAGCTTGATTTTGGTTTAAGAATATTTTTCTTTTTGTTGAGGAAGAAAACCCATGGTTGGAAAAGTTTTTGGTTTCTGTGTGGACAAGTCCTGATTGATATTAGATGTAAAGAGCAGTTTTTCAATGAAGAAAGGAATTAGTTTACAAGAGTTACAAAAATAGATTACCTCAGTATAAAAGGCTTAGTTTTGAAAGCTCCAGACCAGAAGTATTTGGTTTGAACCCGCCCAAAAAAATTTGAAGCTGAGAAAGTTTAAACTCAAACAAAAAACAGGAGTTGCTGGAAAAGCTCAGCAGGTCTGGCAGCATCTGTGAAGAGAAATCAGAGTTAATGTTTCAGGTCCGGTGACCCTTCCTCAGAACTGATGGTAGCTAGGAAGATGCCAGTTTATATGCACAAGATAAGGTGGTGGGAGGGGGTAAGGAGTAAATGATAGGCAGGGATAGAGCCCAAAGAGAGAAAAGAGCAGTTGGATGGACAAAGGAGTTGATGACAGCTATTCACCCTCCCAGCCAGATTGTTAATGGAGACTGTTAGTGACTAACAATAGGTAGTGTGTAATGGCAGACTACGTAATAACAAGGACTGGTGTGAGGGGTAGGGGTCTAGGACATGGGTGAGTATTGGCCCTAAAATTATTGAACTCGATATTAAGCCCAGAGGGTTGCAGGGTCCCCAAATAGGAAATGAGGTATTGTTCTTCCAGCTTGCGCTGAGCTTCACTGGAAAGCTGCAGCAGGCCTGAGACAGAGTTATTGGCCGGGGAACAAGGTAGTCTGTTAAACTGGCAGACAACTGGAAGCTCAGGCTTTTTTGCGGGCAGAACGTAAATGTTCTGTGAAGTGGTCACCCAGTCTACACTGCATTTCCCCAATGTAAAGGAGACCACATTGCGAGGAATGAATGCAGTAGACTAGACTGTGGGAAGTGCAGATGAAGTGCTGCTTCATCTGGAAGCTATGTTTGGGCCTTTGGATACTGGGGAAGGAGGAGATAAATGGGCAGGTTGCAGGAAAAGTTGTCACAGGGCTGTGGGGGGTTTTTAGGGAATGAAAGAGGAGAGTGGACCAGGTTGGACCAGTCCCTATGGCAGGTGGACAAGGGAGGGGAGGGGAATGGGTGTCTAGCGGTGGCATCTCGCTGGAGGTGGCAGAAATGCCGTCTGATGATATTCTGGATGTGGATGCTGGTGGGAGGGTAGGCAAGGACAAGCGGAACACTATCGCTGTTGTGGGAGGGAAGAGAGGGGGTGAAATCGGAAGTGTGGGAGATGAGTCAGACCCGGTGTTTACAGCATCTGCAGTCCTTTCGGTTTATATAAAGTTTAAACTCAGTTGTTCAACCACTCAAGTAACAGTCTAATATCTCTCAAGACCAGGAATTGGCAGAAGTTAAGTCAAACTTATAAATTTATAAATGTTTTTGGGATAGTTGGAATCATGCATTTTCACTTTGAAATCTTTCAAATTGTGGTATATATAAAATAGAATAAACCCAAATTATTTATCTTTATCTTTCGCATCATAAACTTCTGCTTTCTTGTCAAAGCCAGAGATAGAGCATTGCATACTTGTGTTTTAATGAAACCTTGTTAAATAAAATCAAAACAAATTATAATCTATCAGACCAGATTTCAGTCTGCAGTCTAACTTATAATAAAATCAGTTGGACATTTTTGTTTTCAGTTGGGAGAACTCATTCTCAAGATCAGGCTGCTGATCTTTCTGAAGTACCCTTGTTGTAAAACCAATGTGAATTTGCTCTTCACGAGGATACTGGAAGATGATTGAATACTGTTTCCTGAGCAAGCTGCATCTGCCAAGACCCCACAGACATCTGTTGAGTTTTGTGACCGTCTGCAGGTACCAAAAATATCAGAACAGCAGCCATATGAACACTTCATCCCTTAACTCAGTCTTATCAGCCAGAATGGCTTTATCCCCCTGCAAAATCAATCTTTATAAAGAGGAACTTTTCCCTCCTCATACATGGTGGGTGGTGGATGGGGGTGTGTGCTGTATATCTTGGTTTATTTAGAGGGGAAAACATTGACATTTTCATTTCATAAATGGGTGTTAGCCAATTCTGCATCCTTATGAACGAAGTTTTGAGTTGCAATAAATCAATACTTCTGTGTTTAAGGACACCTGGTTGATGCATTTTTTTTTATTACAAGTCCAACACAAAGGAAGCATACAGTTGATTATATTGGAAATTGGATAAAGCAACTACATTTATGTTATGACCTGTAATTCAATTGTGATAGGGGTCTCTCTAGTTAGAGACACAGATAGAGGTTTCTGTGGCCAACGTAAAACACCAGAATGCTGTATAGCCTCCCTGGTGCCAGGTCAAGAATGTCTCAGAGGGTGCAGAATATCCTCAAAAGGGGAAGAGGGACCTGCAGGAGATCATTGTTTACATTGGTACCAATGACAAAGGGAGAGAAAAGAATGAGGTTCTAAGGAGAGAATATAGGAAATTAGGCAGCAAGTTAAAAAGTAGGTCCTTGAGAGTACTAAATTTCGACTTCTCCCAGTGCCACTTGCTAGTGAGAGTAGGAATAGCAGGATAGAGCAGATGAATGCATGGCTGAGGAGCTGGTGCAGAAGAGAAGGATACACAATTATTTTGGATCACTGGAATCTCTTCTGGGGTAGCAGTGACCTGTGCAAGAAGGAGAGGTTGCATCTGAATTGGTAGGGGACAAATATACTGACGGAGATTTGCTACAGCTACTCAGTCTGAGGCTGGTGTAGTTGAGAAAAGGAGCAAGTCAAACAGTCAAAGCAGGTAGGAGCAAGGCACAGAATGAGGTAGGACTGAAAATTAAGCTGCATTTATTTCAATGCAAGAGGCCTGACTGGTAGGCAGGTGAACTCAGGGCATGGTTGGGAACATGGGACTGGAATATCATAGCGATTAGAGACATGGCTCAGGAATGGAAGCTTAATGTTCCAGGGTATAGATGATCAGCTTACTGAAATTGTACTACAGACCCCTCAATAGTCAGCAGGAAATTGAGAAGCAAATTTATAAAGGACATCTTAATTATCTGTAAGAATAATAGGGTTGTAATGGTAAGGGATTTCCAAATGTGGATTAGAGCTGCCATAGTGTTAAGTGCTTGGACAGAGTGGAATTTGTTAAGTGTGTAGAAGAAAATTATATTATTCAGTTTGTGGACATACCTACTAGAGAAGGAGCAAAACGTGACCTTCTGTTGGGAAATAAGGAAAGGCAAGTGACTA